ATCCGTGAGTTGTCAGCGGACACGTATATCATGTACAAATTTGCGCGGAAAACCATGATCAACATTGAGGAAAAAAAAAGAGAAATTGTGAAGGTCAGTGTGAATTCTGCTCACGTAAAACAAACACAACGTTCTGTGTGCCTTTATTAAACTTCTTCTTTCCAAGACGTTTTGGAAAGAGCGAGTGCAAAAAAAATTATGCTTCCAGAGGAGGAAAAAATAAGTTAGTGGAAGAAGTTTGGTCACGTCTAGTCGACACCCGACACATTGCTTTATATTATCAAGACCGGATCCTTTTCTTTCCCCTTCGCTTTTCGTATTATCGTGAGCAGGAGACGAATTTTTCTTGGCACGTATTACTTCGCAGTTGCATTTTCACCCGTTGTCAAATGGGGCTCCGTAAACATTTTCCCTAGCGTTTGTATACGCGAATTTGCATATAAATTATTCCAGAGAAAGAGCATTTGGCGAGTAACATTCAACGATTCAACCTCACATTAGAAACTTTGTAAGTTGGGAAAGTAGACTGAGCAAGTGGAGAAGTGCTTCCAATAATTCAAATGCCAACTGCTGACGATCCTTTTTAGAATTTTCTTGCCGAAGCATGATGAGCTTCTTCAGTTTCGTGTTCTTCGCGATGTTGACTGCTTTTTTTGGTGAAAACATGAGGGAAATTTATAATTCTTGTATTCAACATCATGTTTGTGAAAAATCATCTTAGAAGAAGATGCAAATTGAACATGAAACGTCCCTCTCGTATCGGTGGCAGAAAAGGCAGGGATGTGCCAGGTTTTTCGCTTTTTAACTGTTAAGAAGGTATGCATTACTTATTTATTCTGTGTTTTTGTAGCATGGATTGCACATCCCTTTTGTGGAAAAAAAATGTAAAAACAAGATTGAAAAATTCAGATGATTTTTCTCACACACATACAACACACACACGCGAAATGACAAAAGTTTACAGCCTGGCATTTACGAAAGAAATGGGTATTTACAGTTTCCATACGAGCCTGAACTTCTTAATGACACGTTAGAAGGCTATGCATTCTAAAATTGATATTTTCGAACTATCTTTTGGCTTTCTTTTGCCAAAGATGAAGTGACTTATTAATCGAACATTTTTCCTTCCGTGAAAAATGAACGAAAAAATTTAATGGAAGAGAGTGGGTGCTGCTCCTTTTCACTCCGGTAGAAAAATAAACTCCGAAGCAGGGATTTTGAAATGCTGCGAAAATTTGCAATAGGAGAAGAGAAAAATGGGCACTGCATGGAGTGGGCCATGAAAATTATGCAAAAGAGGAATTTTGAAAAAATTTCACAGTCCAAAAGCCATAGTACAGTATAATAAACACAAACATCCGAATCAGGTGATTTCCCAATATGGAGATGCTGCCTATGGTAATGTTATCAATACAGATAATTTTTTCCACAGTGTGTCGACTGAGCAACTATAATCGTATAACGAGGTAGTCTATACCTTTACAAGAATGCTCGATATTCAACGAATAATTTTCCGTAACAAATCCTTCAACGAATAATTTTGCAAATCCTTCAAAATACTTGTTTGGTATTTTGTCGAGAATCGGCTGCGTTCAGTGAGACAAAAGTCCTCGTGTGGAGAAATTCATTGTAGACGAAATCGCTACATCATTACATAGAGCAGTGAATTGTGAAAGCCAAAAAATCATTGCAACATGAAAATTGCTAAAAGAGAGACTCGAATAATTTTTGTCAGTCTCTGTAAAATCCTTGCAGAAGCACCCCAGATGACTGGGCGTCTAAAGATTGACCTGACGACTTCAAGCCCTTAATTATCGTCAACATATATTATTTTAAGATTTCCGAGATTTTCGGAAAGACCTCGGTAGCTCGAAAGAAGGCACATGTTTTTAAGAACGAAATTTCTCGGCTCACTTTCCAGCCTGAATCGCAATCCTTGTCCGATTTCCCCAGTCGACAGCGGAGTGCCGCCGAGTTCGTCGTCCGACCCGCTGAATTCTATATGAGATTTCGCCTTTGAAGTGCTCTGATTTCCTAACAGTATTTCAGTGTCACGGTTGCCTTTCAAAACGAAACAAAGCATAGAAAGCACTCGGGGCAACGGTAAACAAAACCAAAGTCTTGAACAGTCCTGCGATGGAATTTTTTTTTCTTCTGTCCGCCTGGATTAAATTCATGCTTAGCGACAGTCATTGAATTTCAACTGAGTCTAACAGTAACTTTCCGACGTGATTCGAATCAACACCATGAAATTAAAGATTTTTCTTTTTTTCCCACTGTTTCTTCCCTCCCTCGAAGACCTGCCAGAGTTCATGGGGCGGGTGAATAACTGTTGGGGACTCGCCGCAATCTATAAAACAATCAATAATAAAAGTTAAATCTGCCAGAAAACCACCCAATTGGAAGCAATGGAAAAACTGAGTAGATCCGCCAAAAAACTGTTTTCCCTCCCCAAATTTTGAGTCACTCGGCAACAAGTCGTCTTTGACTCCAATTTCTTAACTTGGCCAATCCCAGGTCTCAAAAGTGTGCCAATATTCCTGACTTAGTAGTCTTAGTACTGGGTCAAGGGCGGTCATAATAATTAATAAAGCCCCATTTTCACGCCACATTTATCATCAGTTTCTTCTCTGCTGTCGCTAAAAATGTTGGTTCTCAAGGAAGGCTTTTGCTGAAAGGTTTTTGAGTTGCAAACATTAATCTCTTTAGCTTTTTTCTCGATTTTTCCTATTCGTTGGGAAATTTTGAAATATATTCAACTTCTTAAATTTAGGGATTCTACCAAGAATCCCCAGCCTTAATCCTGGATTGAATCTGCCTTTTATTTCTCTTATCATTTTGATCCACAGCGAAAATATTCATCCTTGTGTTGCCACGACTTGAGTCATCAACAATAACAAAATTCGTTCATGATAGTCTACCACGGAAGGAAAAATTTCTAAAAATCAGAGATCATTTTTGATGAGTTGACTGAAATGATTTTTTCTCAAGCTAATCAAATGGAAGGAAATCAAACTAACAACCCACCTACGAACGACTCATCTAACCCACCGGAAGACAGCAGTTCGCGTGAAGACAATAATGACCAGGAAAAGTCGGAAAAATGTGCAGCCTCGACGATGCCGAAATTGGCGAAACGACATTCGTTCGTCGACGATTCGCCTCATCGCAGTGGAATGTCGCGGTTGGTGGAGAATTGCCTGAGGTCATTGGAAGACCATGCCATGGACAATAATGCGTTCATTTCCAACCTCGGGATGGAACATCGGGGTCATTGTTTGAAACATCAGCTCAGTCTTCACGACCACCTGCTCCATCATCAACATTCGTTCCATTTTCAGCAACACCAGTTGCACCAGAACAATAAGCTGATCGAGGTGAGGAACGGCTGTAAAATAAAAAGGTTTCAACATTCTTGATCGCAAATATGCACAACGTGATATCTTTGTTTCGTTGGGTCACGACTTTATGCACGTACATGGCATTTCTTTACAACGAAATTTGAGGGACCAGCAAAAGTATCGTCGTAGAAATAATTTCGTTGTAGAGAACCCATATGATATGAGGAGAGAAACCAAAAATATTCGTTATGCGGAGAACATCGTTGTAGACAGAATCCATGGAGAGAAAGTCCACCTTTATTTATATTTATTTTGGTTCGAAAATGATCCAACATTTTCAAGAATATTTCTCTGATGTGCTGAAGGACTCCTGTAAAGGGAGCTCTTCCAGAATAATGTTGGAGAATTCTTTTAATGCACAACGTGATACATTTATTTCGGTAAGTTACGACTTTATACAGGTGGCGTCTCTTTGCAACGAAATTCGAGTGACAAGGAAAAAATCGTTGTAGACATAATTTCGTTTTAGAGAATCCATATGACATGAGGAGAGAACTCAAAACATATTCGTTATGGGGAGAACATCATCGTTGTAGACAAAATCCTTGAAGAGCAAGTCCACCTGTATTTGTATTTATTTTGGTTCGAAAATTATAGAAAATGTTCAAGAATATTTCTCTGATGTGCTGAAGGACTCCTATAAAGAGAGCTCTTCCAGAATGTTGGAGAAATTCTTTTTATGCACAACGTGATACATTTATTTCTTTGAGTCACGACTTTATACAGGTGGAGTCTCTTTACAACGAAATTTGATGGACCAGGAAAAAAATCGTCGTAGAAAGAGAATAACTCATATGACATGAAGAGAGAAGCCAAAAATATTCGTTATGCGGAGAACATCGTTGTAGACAGAATCCTTGAAGAGAAATTCCACTTTTATTTATATTTATTTTCGCTCGAAAATAATAGAAAATGTTCAAGAATCAATGGAATGGAGATTGTTAATTAAAAACATGCTAAACTTCTCGAAGAAACTTTTTGCGTATCAGAAAGAACTGCTGTAGCATGAATTAAAAATTGTAAACGCAGTCTAAAAACATCAAAGCACGGATTTTTTTTCTATAAATACAGTACGTATGAGGTTAACTGCGTTGAAAAAAAATTGAGGTCTCTTACACTCAGGGTACCAGGATTAATCTTCTTTTTCTGCCTATTATTTATGGCACCCAGTATTAATGACAATTAATTAAGAAACGGCTGGAAATTGCACGAAAACCTTTCGAGTATCCTGATTTTGAATTCAGAAAAATAGATCAAAAATACTGCTTTCTTGACGAAAATCCGTTATAATCCTGGACTTCGATAGAATATAAAAGAAACATATCAAAAAAGCTCGTCAAAAGTGAATCAACAAGGACAGCAAGACCAAACGAATTTTTTTTGCACCTTGAAAGAATGTGGCTACCTCCCTGGAAAATTCCAATTTGTTTTCGAAAGAAATAAAATTATGAAGGTGTTGTTACATTACTCAGGATTCTTACCACACAGATAAACGAGGTGACAGAGACAAGATAACGCGTTTTTTCTGTCGAAGTGTTGCCTTATCTGAATCCAAGGAGCCTCTAAAATTGTACATATTTTGAAATAATTCTCGTGTGGTGAAGGACTCCTGTAAAGAGAGCTCTTCCAGAATGCTGTTGGAGGATTCTTTTTTGACCTGTCAGTTTTTGCCTCTTCGATCAATAGCATGTGTTTTCATAGAGTTTCTGTTTTAATTTAATTATTTTTTTTCGAAGTTACACGAGGAAATTCGCTTGCATTAGGGGCATGTCTTCTCGGAGACGGTCTATCCACGATTACCTCGAACTAATGTGGGGAACGTGAGTGATTTTGGAAACGCGGAGTGAATCAAAAGTCGAACAATAATTATTTTTAAAACGTGTCTGTTTATAAAATATGTTCAGGAAATACGCCGAAGCTGCGCAGCTCGACGTTGAGGTAAAATACTCGCTAAATACATTGAATAATTTCACCTATTGATGATGTGTCAGTGACCTTTTTCATAAATCAAGGATTTATTTAAATTTCAGAGCAAGTTCGCAACAATGGCATTGGCGTTCAAAACAGACCGATTTACCCTGACCAGGAGAGTTGACGTGCATAAGCATCAACGAGATCTCGCCGAATCAAGCGTCAATACAGAAGTGGAAACCTTGCAAAATCTTCTGAACGTGAGGGATGCACATATACTGTACTGCTGTATATATCATCCTGTAAGCGACATCTATGTCACAAAAGCTATTGAAAGGCAAATGTGTGTACTTGTTGTCGTCTGCAGGTGTCGGGTGAACTTTGCAGGTAGACACATTTTCTGCGGCTCTAGGTTCATAATACAGTACACTGTTTTTCAAACTAAGACAATGTTTTAGAGTTTGCTGCAGAATATATCTCGAAAGTTACCCTCTTTGAGTAGGTCTCCAGATCAAGGTGTATAACCAACATGCTGGTATGATACAAAACTTTACTTGAGCTACTATGGGTCTTATTCGAAAATAATAATTTGCAATGTACTGTAGTTTTCAATCACTCGGGAAAAATTCGTTCTGCCGGGGATTTCAGATTTTTCTGAAAATTCAACAGCGCATCCGATAAGAATAGAAAGTTAACCGTGTCAAAAGGGCTTTTGATTTTTCAGAATAGATGTCGTCCAGAGGAATTTACAAGTACAGTCCTGTTGACTTTATTGCCGCTTTTGAGCAATTTTTAAATAAATGGGAGGAAAAACAAATGACTAGTTGAAGCATCGAACGAGAGAAATCAGCTATGTTTCATGCATTCAACTTTGAGATAACCGTACACGGCGGAAAGTTTCTCAGATCCACAATTGAAATCGAAAACGAATACGATGAATGATTTACCAGTTCTCCTGGTCACATTCCATTGATCTCGGATGAATTTCTGTAAAAAAACATTTGTTCTGCCTGAAGGAACTTCGAATTCGGTGCAAGGACGTGGTTTGCCAAGAAATTATCGACAAACTCCAAAGCCAGATGGGCGTCGTCAAGCATTCAACAGACAAGGCCATATGTCGAGCAGAGGTGATAAATATGCGCAAGTTTCGCTTTACGCTCCAAATTCTCGGTCGATTCATCCCTGTCTGGCCTTGGTTGAATGAGAACAGGCTCTGTTTCGCTGCGNGATGTACGGACAAGTGCAACAAGAGAACAAGGTGTTCAAGGCCTTGGAAATCATGATCGGATACGTGGAAAATCTGAAAAGGACTTACGAAAGCGAGCATATGGAATTAGAGGATACGAAGTGAGACAATCTTTTAAAATTTTGTCAGAAACATAGAAGAAATCTTTTAAACTCAGCTGTAATTTATGGTTTTTTTAACGCGAGAATATTCCTAAGAATAATAGTAAAACATCGATTCATAACCATCTTTTATTTTATAAAAAAGCTCAAACTCTATTAGGTGTTTTAAATTAAGTTTGTGAATGTGATTCCTTTTGATTCCGTAAAAATGTTCATGAACATAAACATACTTCGAATACATTTTCCGACATAAAAAACTTTAGAATCGAATGCAGCAGTTGGGACAAATGCTGACTGAAACTTAAATTGAATTTATATTGATCACGAATATGAGGGTTTTAATCCACGATACGTAAAAATGTTTGTTATCTGAATTATCTCTAAAGATTTCCGAAACCTTTATTCTTGAACTCCGAGGATTATTTCGTTTTAAATGCGGTATTAAAAATTGAAGAGCAAGTCTGTATAATATGAAAGTTACGAACTTGTCAAAGAGGGAACGGTTCAGGCCCAAAATAAAAATGGCAACTTTTAATAAATGGAGGAACGTTTTTTAAATCTTAGTAAGTCTTGTATGCGGATGAATGGCTCAACAAATAAGAATATTATTTGCGAAACTGGGGAAGTTTCATTTTATTTTTCAAGACGGATTATAGCGGCAAAGAGGAACCCAACAATTTTACAATTACGAAAAACAGTGCTTAAATGTTGCAGTTATTCCATCTCTTGCCCCAAGAGAAGGAATGCATTTTTCCTCAACATGAGGTTTCAACGTTGTCTGATCGGATAGGACAGGTGAAAATATTTTTGTGGCTCATTAAAAAAAATGCGTCAAATTTTTGAATGAGCGCAGTAGAATATTTTTGGTCTACATTAATTCATCCCTCGTGGAGAATGCATTACAACCTATCATTATCAGGAACTTTACATCGATGAATGAAGGAAATTGAACCGAAACTATGGCTCGAATCGATGTCGTTTCCATCAATTGACAGACGAATTCTGATGGAGAACAATATTGTGCTCGACCATGACCAAGTGAACGTGATTGTCGACGGCGTGAAGGATTCCGACGGCGGAGTCGACAGCAGGTCGTCCAAGGATGCCCAGGGAACGCCGA